GAGCCCATGGCGGGGTTGGGTTTGCTCCTCTTGCAGCCTCCTCTCAACGCCTGGCCGCATTTGATCACTCGTTCACATTGACGTGCAAGGCCTGAGAGCCAGTCGCTGGCGATGGTAGAGCCACCTTATTGAAATAGAATGTTAGCATTTAAACAATATTAATACTACTTGACTCATTAAATATACAAAGGCCAGTTAAAGTGCTTCCATGTGTGTGCTGTTAGTTCTGGCGGGCAACTCCTCAGATGGCTTCGTGTGGTTTTAGACAACATTTTAGCACATTCTTAAAATACCCACAAAAGCCTTTATGTAAAAACTCATAAATGTGAACCCCATAAAAATTATTTTTTTCCTGTTTCATGTCATTATGATCAAAGTACAGTAGGTAAGAATAAATTTTCAAAAACTTGTTGAGGTTCCTCTTTAATTAATGCTTCACGCGCAGAGCAAAGCCATAAACCATGTAATGGGGGGACTGTCTGTACACCCTGCAGTCACCTTGCCGCCTGGTTGTGCACGGCATGGTCCTGACCACAGTTGCTGGAGAGGCCGGTGTTTTGGGCAGATTCTGACCAGACCGTTACTAGCTAAGTTCTCAGTCCTCTGCTCCCTTTGTCTTGAAGCATCAGGTTGAAACCTGTGGTCGTTTAAGTCCCGGGAGATCCGTTTTGGTAAATAGAATGCAAGTCCGTTCTTGAATTGCTGTGGTGTTTGTGCCGTACCTGCGGAGGCTGTACCTGCAGAGGCCGAGTTTCAGCATGTCTGCCTCACCTCAATAGGGAATGCCCGGATCCAAAGAGGGAACAGATTTAAAGTGAGAGATCAACAGTGTATCCTCTAATGCTGCTGCCGTCACTTCTTTATTAAAAGTCAAATCGACTGTAAATTAGGATACTACTCAGTGGAATACTATCCCTGCTATTAAAAACAATTATGGAGATCTTGTGGTTCCATGGAAAAGTGCTTATGCGTCCTTGCCAAGTGAAAAAAGCCGAACACAACATGGCACCATCTCTGTGCTTAGTTATATAAAAATTCTGCATCTGTACAAAGACTGGAAGGGCATTTGGAAAAATCAGACTTGTGGGAAAAGTTGATTTATGGTATTGTGGGCTAATTTTTAAATTTCCTTTTTTTTATACTGCTCTTGCAATAAATTTTTTAATTTGGGGGAAAAGAATAGTAACCCACACGGAGGTCAGCATTGAGCTTGCATTTTTAACCTCTGTTGTCTCCAGCATCTTGAAACTTTGGAACTGGCTGATGTGGCCCACAAGGGAAGCTTAGAGCGCAAGGGAGAAGCTGCCCAGAGTGGGAGCCGGGCCAGGGCAGGATGTTGGAGTGGAAACGACCAGTTCCATGTAATAAAACATTAAATGCAGTTGTTTTATTTTTTTGAAAAAAAAAAAACAGAAAACAAAAGGATGGGACTGAGGAGGATCAACTTTAGGCCACCTGGTACTTTTGAACTGGTCACCGCATGGTGCCGACAAAGGCTGTCCAGCCACTAGGGTTTCTCCTGGTTTCCTTCCAGGGCATCCTGGCCCAGCTTCTCCCCGTATTCCAGATCACAGAAGGGCAAGCCTTTGACAAGAACAACACTGCAGCTCTGGTGTGTGGAGCCACATGAAGATTGGGGCCACAAACTGTGAGGGAGCGGAAGAATGAAAATGCCCACTGGGCTTCAAGCCTTCATTCCAGGATGGCCAAAGGAAAGAAAGAATTATTGGCCCCTACTTTTTGCCAGCACAAGAAAAGCCACAGTTTTAAAAGCTGTTGTTTTTTCTCTTTTGATGTGAGTCTGCTCTGGAAAACTGTGTGTCAGAACCAGGCCATCTGTCACCAGAAGGAGTGGTATTAGCAAGTGTGTTGTGGGCTGCTCCTCCCTCTTTGGTGTTGGTATGCCTCATTAGTTAACCTCTGAGCTGAGGGAGTCACCAGAATCCAGGAGAGCAAGTCGGAAAGGCTCACTGAGCCATGCTGCCAGCTCACCTGAGCACTGCAAAGCCTTGAGGCCAGCAAGGGGCTCTAGTCTAGAGGTGACCGATATATCCACACCTGCCCCAGGAGTGTTCCAGAATGGCCCGCTGTGTGCTCGACCCCTCTGGGACGGGGGTTTGGAGAGCAACTTAGGACAAAAGAAAGACTCTTCTGGAGTGGGGTTCCTGAGTGCCCAGCACAGGCCGATTTCCCAGAGATCACCTGGAGTGGCACTGTGTCTGGGTGCTCCACAACTGTTCACTCACTCAAGCTTGTCCTCTCATGGAACTCCCGTGTGCTGCAGTTGGCTATGGCCAGCACCAGCCCCCAACCCCCGTTTCAGCAGCAGGTAGTCCAGCCTCTGGCACCTTGATATAGCCATTTGTCTTAGTCTCCTAGTGCTGCTGTAACACAAATACCACAAGTGAGTGGCTTTAACAAACAGAAATTTATTTTCTCACAGTTCAGGAGGCTCGAAGTCTAAATTCATGGTGCCAGCTCTAAGGGAAACCTTTCTGTCTCTGTTGGCTCTGGGGGAAGGTCCTTGTCTATGTCAGCTTGTGTTCCTTGGTTCCTTGGAAGTCTTCATATGGTGTGTATCTTCCCCTCTGTTTGTGTTTGTTCTGTGCCTCATCTGTTCTTTTTGTATCTCCAAAGTGATTGGCTTAAGACATACCCTACACTGATATGGCCTCATTAACATAACAAATAGGAAATCCCTATTCCCAAGTGGGATCACATCTACAAGCATGTTATTGTTGTTGTGTGCCATCAAGTCGATTCCGACTCATAGCAACCCTAAACCAACCAAACCAAACCCATTGCCATCGAGTCTATTGCGACTCATAGTGACCCTATAGGACACAGTAGAACTGCCCCATAGCGTTTCCAAAGAGCGCCTGGTGGATTCGAACTGCCAGTCTTTTGGTTAGCAGCCGTAGCTCTCAACCACTATGCCACCAGGGTTTCCTATACAAGTTTAGGGGTTAGGATTTACAACACATATTTTTCGGGGACACAATTCACAACCTCATCAATCAGTAGTCACCGAGCATCTGCTGTGTTAGGCCTTGGCAGGCCTGCTCTCATGGAGCGTACTCTGTAGTGGGGAGGAGGAGTTGTGGATTTAATTTGATTAATAACAGTGGATAGTGCAGTAACAGAGATATGGGGGCAGGATGTAGTGACACCAGCTGAGGGCTGGTCCCAGAGTGCTGAGGATATCCTGGAAGGGAGGGGCCTGGGCAGCCAACCTAGATCTGAGACCCCAAGGGTGCTCAGTGGGTTTGCAGCGGGTTAGAGCAAGATGATAGAAACAGCCTGAGCACGTTGCCTCATGTGAGTGCGGACAGGATGGGGACCATGTCGTTGTTGATTGTCTCTTAGTTTGGTGTATATCGGGTACTGACTTTTTAAAAAACTTTTGTTCGAAATAATTTCAGACTTCTGGTAAACTTGCCAAAAAGAATACAAAGAATTCTTGTATACCCTTCACCCTGATTCTCTAAATATTAACATTCTACCACATGTGTTTAATTATCCCGTGCCCCAGTATATATGAGTATGTATATACAAACAGTTTTTTTAATATTATATAGCAGCTTTATTGAGATATAATTCACAGACACATGTTATTTATTTTGGTGCTTTTTAATAACAAAAACAATAATAACCATTTGTCAGACATCTGCTTTCCTGTATTATTTCATTCTAGCCTCCCAATAGCCCTATGAAGTAGATATTATTGTCCAGTTTTGCAAAGAAACTAAGGCCCAAGTTCACACAGCTAGTACCAGGTAGCCCTCAAAAAATAGTTGGTGGATGAATAAATGCATGGACATATCTAATAACTGGAGAAGCTGGGACTGGAACCCATGTCTGCCTGACTCTTGGAGCCCATGCTCACCCTGGTGCACCATGTTGACAGCCTTACCAGCTGTCCAGCTCTGAGATCTGCTTGCAGACGTAACAGCCCTCCTCGCTGCTCCCCGGATGCACCTGCTGTGTGAAGCAGCAGCAGTGATGCAGGGCTAGTAGGACTCTTAGAGGCAAGAGATTTGCTGGTAAATAATTTTTTTTTTTTTTTAAAGAAAAGGACCATCCATATACTCTTTAAAAAAAATAAAAGAATGTGTTTTTAAGCCATGAGAGGCAAGATTTCCTGGAATTTTGGTTGGTTACCAGCAGAATTTGAGGGACAGTAGTATGTTGTATTAGTCTGTATTCACTGATTATCCACCATTGGTTTCTGAGCCCCTTGGATCTCTGTGCACTTAACCTCAGCCAGCCATAGCAGTTGACTTGGGTCTCTAGGATTTGGAATCCTAGCCGGAGTTCATTCCCTCCTGGCTCTTTCTTTCCCTCTTCCATTTGATCTCAGCTAGAAAATTTTTCTGTATTAACTCAAACAGGAAAAGAAACCCTGTCCTACACTGAACCTTCATTGCCAGCGAGGGTTAGGCAGCAAGCGGCTCTTGAAGACTGACTGACGGAAGCCTGGTTCACCCTGGAGGGGTCTGTGGCTGGGAGGAGTGTGCTGCTCTGTCTTTCCCCTGTAAAACAGCCATCCTCGAAGATAAAGCTATCAAACAATATTGATTACATCAATGGTAGTAGCTACCATTTATTGCTACTGTATGTCACACGGTGTGCTGGATCCTTGATCTATGAGGAATCCCAAGCCCACAAAAGTTTAGTAAGCTTACCAGAGGTCACAAAACTGGTGTAAGTGACAGAGCTCAATTCAAATTCATCTTTATGACTCCTAGGCTCATGTTCTCTCTGTTACCTCTCTCCCCCAACCCCCCTTCCACACACACACCAACGGATGTTCAGGACACATCCAAGGATCAACCCTGAGACCATTGCAGGTCCTTTGCAGACCATTCATTGTCTGAGTCCTTAACCTTAGATAGACATTTAGACGAATCTGCCAAATGACACCCCCTGGGCCCTGGGTTTGATGATCTGTAACTTGATAGGTTTAACATCTAATGAGCACGTGGGCCTGTTTCCTACAGGTATTTTGAAGGCGGCGTCTCATCTGTCTACCTCTGGGATCTGGATCATGGCTTTGCTGGAGTGATCCTCATAAAGAAGGCTGGAGATGGATCAAAGAAGATCAAAGGCTGCTGGGATTCCATCCATGTGGTGGAAGTACAGGTACAGCCTCCAGCAGCTGAAGGCTTGGGGCCTTTAAGTGCAGGTGCCACAGCGTACAGTGCAGCCCGTTGTCTAGCAAATGCTTCTTTAAGGGGGGATACTGTGATTTATAAACTCCTGCTAATTCCTAAAATTGCCCTGAAGCCGTTTGGATGAAGATAAGTCACGATTGCAGTAATCATTGACGGTGGTAAAGATCCTAAAAGGGCTTAGTACACATGATTTCTGATTCTTTCCCTTTAAAAACCAGTTGGGAATTTAGAAGAAAGGTAATGTTGTGGTAATGAGTTAGGAAGGGACATGTTAGAGTGGCCCTTCAGAGGGGCCCTCTAGGCTCTCCTTGGGCCTTGGAGTTGTACCCAAGGTTTTTTTGTCTGTCTGGTCTCTCTATCTCATCGCCCCCAGGAGAAATCCAGTGGTCGCACTGCCCATTACAAGTTGACCTCCACGGTGATGCTGTGGCTGCAAACCAACAAATCTGGCTCTGGCACCATGAACCTCGGAGGCAGCCTTACCAGACAGGTAGAGTCACCCGCTTATAACCAGTTGCCGGTGCTCACGGGTGCCAGCCTCAGCTGGCCTTATGCAGAAATGAGTGAGCTGTTGTCCCACAGAAGGGTCCTGGGGCAGCCTCTGTGCCTAGCATTGTGCCCCCCCAGGCCTGATTGATTCCTGAGATTCAGACATGGAAGACTGTGTCTTTGAGTCAAGTTGTTTACGTTAAAATGCTCCTGTGATGTTTAGCACGTACTACTGTGATAGCACTTTAGAATAAATTTCTCAGTTCTGGCAGAGATCCTGTATTAGGACATATGATTGCAGATGACAGAAATTCAAGTCTAGCTGGCTTAAGCAAAAATGGAAATGGGTCAGCTCACATAACTGAAAAGTCCAGACTTCAGCATGGCTAGGCCTTAAACTCAAATGATGTCATCATATCACAGTTCCCTCTCTCCACAAGGTGGCTCCTGGCAGTCTCTGGCTTACATCGTCTTACCCCTGGCAGTCCTGTAGGAAAGAGCTTCTCTTTTCTAATAGGTCTGCCAGAACCCCGGAGATGTCTCACTGGCCTGGAGTGGGTCACTTGTCCTTCACAGAATAATGTACTGAGGCAGGGTTGGGGTGAAATGGTTCTCTGATCTGCCAGACTTGGGTCATGATGCTGCTGCCCATGATGGGGTAGGTGGGAAAGGGGTGTTGATTTCCTAGAGGAAAACCTGGGCACTTCTCATAGTAGAGGGAAGAGTAGACACAGCAGATAGTAGACATTGGATGCTGGTGGAGAGGCGCTGTCTGCAGAGACAGAACTGGCGGATGTATCTTGCCGTGGACGTGGGGCGGTATAAGGAGCAACAGCAGACCCAGACCCAGAGGGTTGGCCTAGGTGGTTGGCAACAGGTACAGCTGCTGCGGGACAGTAGTCAGGGTCCCCAGAAAAGGGAGAAGAGGCTGAAAGAAGAACTAAAGGGATATACAGAAGAGAAAGTGTCTATTTTAAGCATCTGTCTAACCTCCCCACCCTCAACAACCTAATAGTGCCTCCCTGTGGTGGGTGCCTGAAGGTAACTGATAACCAGCAAGCTCTTGTGGAAGGTCTGCCCTCTCCTCGGCTCTGGCCTACACACAAAACAGTGGCTCCCAGGATGAAGCTGAGTGATACTCATGAGAACCTTCCAGTGCTGGCCCAAGCAGAGCACTTTCCAAAACTCAGAGCACGTGTTCATCTCATCAGGAGAAAATTACTGCGTTTGGCCAGGCTGCCTGAATCACAGGATCTTGAAATCAGAAGAGATCAGAGGTCACCTAATCCAGCCTCCCAACCTGACGGGACCTCTTCTGCCCCTGCCTGCTCTGCTTGGCACTTCAGGAGACAGCCCATTCCTTGATGTCAACCTCCATAGAAATGTGGCTTTCAGGAGAGAACTGTCCTGCAGAATGTGACCTAGGTGGAATTGCTTTGGCAGGCCTTCTCACAGGCTAGCTTGCAGTCAACTAAAGGGCCTTCCACTGGCACCCTGCCCTGTCTCTTTCACATGAACCCCTCAGGGACCTGGGATTTCCCATTCCGTCCTCACGCCGTCAATTTTTTTTTTAATGCAAATATGAGATTTCACATTTGTCTTCCTTACATTTTATTTTTTCATCCAGTCCATGACAGTTATGTGAATCTTGGTTCCACTCATCCAGTCATTGACTGCTCCTCCTGGCTTTGCTTTTTGCATGTTTACTAAGATGACTTCTGTATCTTGATGACCAGAGCAAGGCCAAGTTCAGTGCCCTTCAGCATGACCACCGGAGACTTCCTTAGAGGGAGATACAGTCTTTTGATCATCTTTCTTGGGGTGAGCTTGTTTAGGCAGCTATAAATCCACCGTCTAAATAGGGCTTCCCATTCTCAAAGGAGTGAATGCCCTTTGGCCTGTGTGTAGTTGAGCACACCTGCACACTAGCTGGCTTCCTCCCAGAGTAGGACGAGGTGACTGCGGGCTTAGCCATGTTCATCCTTCTCACCCTGTTCCTGGCTCACCACATCTCCGTACTGTAGGCCCATCTTGTCCTGTAAGACGCAGTGCTTGGCAAGATGCCCCAGGTACTTGTATGCACATTAAAATTTGAGAAGATCTGTGTACCTTTTTCTCACTCATCTTTTTTTAGGTGTCATTAGCAACCATCTCCAAGATGTGCCTCCCTACAGGCTGTGTCTAAGGTCACTGCGGAGCTTGGTCTGGAAAGCACTGGCTTCCCTAAGCAGGCTTGTCTTGACTCGGCAGTTCCATGTTTAACACCCTTGACGCCCCATCCCAGGGGGAGGCTTTAGCTTCGTGCTGGTGCACTGCTGTGGGTGCCTCTGTGTAAAGGTGAGAGGACGTGAAGACTGAGTGCAGTGTGGCCTCAGGAGACAAAGAATTTTGCCCTCAGAGATGTTGGTATTGGCAGAGATTCAGCCTCATTGAGAAGGTCCTCAGGGCAGACCTTCTTCCAAAGATAACTTTTCTATCCTCTCTTCCAGTAGTGTCCAACTTTCCAGTATGAAGACCCCTGTTAACGTAGAAAAAAAAATTTGCCACCTTGCCCTTTTAATAGCTGTTGGAGACATAGGGTAGATTTAGAAACTCTCCTAAGTGAATTTGCGTTCTGTTAGTCACAACAGTAGTTGTGTGAGGCAGATGTGTTCAAGTGGCCCACATGCCTGGGATGCAGGTTGGAGCCTTAGACTGTCCAGGCAGAGCCCTCACTGGCTCTGCTTTGTCAGAGTGGCCCAAGGGAGTCGCCTCTGGGCAGGGCTGGCCCCACTCCACCCACCCCAGAACAAGTGCTGGTGCTCTCTGGGCATACCCCATCCTCTGCCTGGAAGTGGGTCTTGTCTTCCAGGAACTGTGGAGTGAGGAGGTGCAGCCTAACTCCCTAGGCAGCTAGTTCCCCAGCCTGCCTTCCCCACACCCTGCCACCTGGGAAATGGGTGGAAAATCCTAAATCTGTCTCCGGAGATTGCTTCCTGCATCACTTACCGCTCCTAACTGTTTATAATTCTTCCCGGTTTACAGTGTCCTGGGCAAATATTGAATCCTCGGCCTTCCTAATTGCTTAAATCGGAGCTGTCAGCCCAGGGCCAGGGTCTGATTCTGGCTGGCTGTGAGCAGAGCCTCCTGCCAAGCCAAACGCAGGCCCGCTGAGTGGCTGTCCTCAGCACACCTTGGCTGGGGCTGTCTGCCTTGTTTGGATTGCCTTTTGCTCCTGGGGCTTTAATGAGGAAATTCATGCCTCTGTCATCATCCTAACGGCTGATCCCATAATTCATCTGAGGGGCATTAAAGCTGGGGCTGGTTTCCAATGTAGCCAAAAAAAGGGGAGAGGGAAGCAATGAGGTGGACCCATCTAAGTTAATGATGCACAGCTTATGAGCAGACAGGAAATGAGGGTTGCGGGGGTTGAGCTTTGTGTCCCAGATGAGTCTTGGAAAAAGGTTGTGGTTGACTTGGATGGGAGACAAAGGGGTTCTGGGAAAGCTGAGCAAATCAGTGATAAAGAGTGAACATGATTAGTTACCCTTCCCACTTAACAGGTGAGGAAGCTGAGGTTCAAGCTGTTAAATCATTTGCCCATGGTGACTTAAACTAATAAGAGTCAGAGCCAGGATTTGAACCCAGTTTTGCCTGCCTTAAAAAATGTGCCATTTTCTACCATACCACACTTTCTTGGTCTTAAATATCTGCCCCCTGTACCTCCTATTCATTAGATGACGAGTAAGTGAGGGGGAATACATTGAACAGTCAGCTCCATGTAGATGGGACACTGCTGTTTGGGTGCCCAGTGACATTGTGTTGGCAGCCCATCTTTCTGGCCCTGGCATTGGTAGCTGCCATGGACTGGTGGCCCCAGGAACAGACAAGCACAGTGAGGCTGCATCATGAAGTCGGCCTCCCTGGGAGTGTGCTCACCAACACCCCCTCTGGTGTCCTCCTCTGGGGTGTCCAGTGGCTGTAAGATGGATTTTCTTATAGGAAGCAAGTTGACCCGTGAGATGTACTGTCATTCATGACCAGAGGCAGTGAGGAGAGTTTTAAGATCTGATCAGATTTGTGTTTCCAACGGATGGCTCTGCCAGCCAGTGTGGAGGCTGGTCGGTGGGAGGAGGCCATTAGTGTGTCCAGAAGACTGGCGATGGGGGCCGGGACCAGGGAAGCACTGGGGGACAGAGGGGACAGGCCTGTGGCAAGAATGTCAGGAAGAAGCTGGTGTCACATGGAAGCAGGAAATGAGGTTCAAAACAAAGACAAGGGCGGTAGGAGCAGAGCCAGGATAGAGAGGTGGGGAGACAGTGTGGTGACCACTGGGATGTGGGAGATGAGGGAGGAGGTGTTGGATGAGAGTCTTCCTTACTTGCACTTTTCCATTAAGTACTATTTATAGTGACCCAGGATTTAAAATTTTTTCTCTAGAAACAAGGCCTCATCTCAGTCACTCATACATACCCACATACTCACTCCATGTGTCAAGAAGGAGGGCTCTCTCCCCAGGCCCAGGGTGCCAGTGCTGCACTCCACACATATCCAGCGTCCAGGAGTGCTCTCAGCAAGGCTAAGCAGCCCAGGACCAATGAGGGCCTCCCAGCTTCACATCCAGGGGCTGTCAGGTTACCCTCCACCGCCCTCTAGAGATAGAGGGGCGAGCCGTCATGCAGCAGGAGAGGGCATCCTCGCCTTGGCAGCAGGCTGGGTGCTAACCCTCATCTGCAAGGGCATGGTCCTCAGGCACACCCATCCCATCTTCCTGTCTCCCAGGTCCCATCCTGAGAACTGCGAGACGGCTTAGACTTGCTGGTGGTCCTCCTAGAGGTGCCTTCCCTTGGGCACCCTGGGCTGTGAGCAATCTGGAGCCTTTACCCTGAACCCCTTTCTTTCTCAGTTCAGGTGCTTTATGGGAATGCAAGTCAATGAGATGGCGGGGCTGCTTTCACTGATTTTCTTTACAAAGTCCCTCAGAACCATTGGTAAATGTAACAGTGATAAATTACTTGAGCC